ACTTGGGACACCCTAAATCTCCCAAGTGGCGACTCTGAAATAAACAAACAAATCCCGTTTCGAATGTCCTTTAATTGGAGAAAACTCCCTACGCACCCCTCGCGGGGGCGGAAAAAGGAGGTGCGACACTGGAGGTCAGGAGAATAACATCGATATCCCTTTTGCGTTCTCGAGTAACCCAGAAATATGCACTTAAGAGCATGGAGAGCTAACTTATCTTTTCCTGGAGTAAGGTCATGAACAAAACACGTACTCCCAAAGACACGGGGTGGAAGAGAGAACAAAGATAAGTGAGGAAATAGGACAGAGAATGGTACTTGATTCTGGATAGCTGAAGATGGCATACGATTAATAAGATAGCAAGATGTAAGAACTGCATCCCCCCAAAAACGCAGCGGAACATGAGATTGTATGAGTAGGGTACAAGCAGTTTCAATAAGATGTCTATTCTTTCAGCTACCCCATTTTGTTGGGATGTGAACGGACAAGATGTTTGATGAATAATCTCATGGGAGTTCATAAACTGCTGAAATGGGTAAGACAAATACTCTAGGGCATTATCACTATGAAATGTGCGGATAGAAACCCCAAATTGATTTTGAATTTCAGCGTGGAAGGTCTGGAAAATAGAAAACAACTCAGATTGATTTTTCATAAAAAATATCCAAGTGCACCGGCAATAATCATTAACGAAACTGACAAAGTAGCAGAATCTAAAGGTAGAACTGACCCGACTAGGACCCCAAACATCTGAATGGATTAAAGTAAAAGGTGACTCTACTCGATTATCAAGACGCCGTGGGAAATAGGAGCGAGTATGCTTACTGAGCTGACATGACTCACACTCTAGAGTGGACAAGTGAGATAAGCCAGGTACCATTTTCTGAAGTTTTGACAAACTAGGATGTCCCAACCGTTTATGTAATAAATCTGGTGAATCAGTAACGGGACAAGTTATTGAAGGAAGACAAGATGCGAGTCCATGTGATTTTGCAAGGATAAGGCAATAAAGTCCATCTGATTCACGTCCAGTACCAATGATCTTCCATGTACTGCATTCCTGTATAAAAACAGGGTCATCAAGAAATAAAATAGCAGATTTAAGTGATTTAAGAAAGGAAGTGGACTTGCTTGACTTATTTCAGTTGCCATGGTTGGAGACCCATTAGCCATTGTGACTGTTGGAAGAGATTGAGAATATGAAATACTAGTGAAAAGAGATTTTTTATCAGAAAACCTTGCTCCTAGAACTGAACCTGTCTTGACCTCGCTCTGATATCAATTGTTAGGACCAAAATAATCAGGTGTCATGCGGGAGCTAGCAAATCAAACCTTGAACGATAATAAATCATACAACAAACGAGAAATCTACCAAAAGAGAGATAAACATTTAATGTGGTTCGGTCAACTGACCTACATCCACGGCGGAGATGATCAATCCACTATATAAAAAGAAAGTACAAAATATTGAGAGAACAACTTCACGAAAAGTCAAACACAAGTGACACACTAACACTTGTCCCTTAAAGTTCTCCCTCTAAACACAACTCTCAAGCCTCATATGGCTACATTGTGGATGTTGTTGAATGGAAAAGAAGGATCCTTAATTTGTAGAAGTCCAAGCCTTTTCCTGCACGAAAAGGACTAGCCAAATATGGGAGATTTATAATTTCCTACTACAAGAAGAAAACCCCAATTAAGATAAATATCATCCATTTCCTTCAACAGGTAGGAAAACCAATTATGGTAAGAAAATCTGAACAAACACCTAACAATTTTCCCCCTTGGCCTGAATTTTCTAACAAAATAAACTCGATCCACCTTCTTCACATAGCCTTCAACAGGTCGCGTCTCCAATTATCTACCACAAAGTTTATCTCAACGTGAGTAGCACTCCGGTCAAATTTCTCAGACGAAAATCATAATAATCATAAAATAGGTTGCGCCTAGAACTGAACCCGCTAAGATGAACCTGTCTTGACCTCGCTCTGATACCAAAAATATGATCAGATGCACCTGAATCAATGACCCAAGACTTAGAAGTTCAAGATTGGGAGACACAAGTTATGCTACTATCTGTTGGAACAACGGAGGCTAATCCTGAAGATGTCTACTTATGTGTTTTGTACTAAAGAAACTCAATATAATCCGGTAAAGAAACCATCTGGATTGGATTCAATGCATTCGATCCAACGGATTTGTGTGTCTAAGGCTTCTATTAAGAATGACATTATAATGTTCACGCCGGAAAAAATCAAAAATCCTTCTGGAAATTACTATTAACACCAAAAACATCAGAAAATTTGCTGAAAATCACTATTCACACCGAAAATCACTGTTCATACCGAAAAAATATAAAAGTTGTCAGAATTATGTTTAAATTGGATGGGTAGGCTCGGAATTGCAAGACGATTACACTGTCCAAAAGAAACTTTTTCAAATTCTGGCTGGAACAACCTCACACATCGGCGCATGGGACAGACGCGTTACCGGCAGCAAAACTCCGGCAGGTGCATGGGGGCGCGTGGGTGTGTGTTTTCAGGTGGTTTTTTCTGGGGTTTGGTCGCCTATCTCTTGGAAACCTTTTGGTGGTGTTGGATTTCGCACAACACTGATAATTAGTGACTTTGACGCAAATAGTCACTTAGGTCACCGAAAAATCTCGCGGTGACTGAGTTCTTTCTTCCCGGATATCGCTGGAATGACGCACAACGATCTATTCTTACCAAAGCTCTAATACCATATGAGAAAATACGGGAGAAAATATTATTGATTAATGTTCTATGTTACAATAAGCCCTATTTATATGTATACATAACACAACATACTCCTATTACATAAGGGACTATGACTAATTACATACATTCACATAACTATTCTAACAAGATGGACATGTGGGTACACGAGGTTAGATAGAATTAGTAATGAAGTTATTAGGGACAATGTGGGAGTGGACCCTATGGAGGAAAGATGCGAGAGGTGAGGCTGAGATGGTTCAAGCATGTTAAGAGGAGAAACACGGATGCCCAGATTAGGAGGCATGAGAGGTTGGGCATGTGGGGTAAGAGGGAGATTAAAGGTACGCCGAAGAAGTCTTGGGGAGAAGCGATCATGCGTGACATATCATAGCTTGAGCTTACTGAGGACATGACTCTTGATAGGAGGGCGTAGAGGTTGAGAATTAGGGTAGAAGATTAGTATGTAGTTGAGCATTTCCCTTTGTCTTCCTTAGTTCAACAGTATTAGTGTTAGTATGGTATCTCTTTCACCCTTAGTTTGTTATTTCCACATATTTTGTATTGTTAGTACTTGCCATCAGTGTCCCTTTAGTTTGATCTCATAATATATTTTACCCTGTTATCACTTGTGATAAGTACTTCTTTCATCTTCCCCTTTGTTATCTTGGATTTAGTTTTCTAAATATCCTGTATTGTTATTACTTGCTATCAGTGCTTCTTACATCTTCTCTTTAGCCGAGGGTCTTCCGGAAACAACCTCTCTGCTCTTCCAATATAGGGGTAAGGCTGCATACATTCTACTCTCCCCAGACCCCATTTGTAAAAATACACTAGGATGTTGTTGTTGTTGTTGTTGTTGTACTTAAATAAATAAAAAAGTTTCATTTCCTGACCTTATTCAAAAATATTTTTTGAAAAGCTTGGTCAAAAAATAAATTATTGAGCAAAAGCGCTTTTTAAATTGATTAGCCAAACATAAATAAATTCAAAAATACTTTTCTGAAAAATACTTTTTAAAATAGGCTGACTTTAAAGCTTGGTCAAACGGGCTATGAAGCAATACTCCATAGCAATTCCATCTTTTCTCAAACCACAAATTTCCTATTACGATTTATGTAATTCACACCGCATACACATGTCCATCTAGAGTTTGAAGATCTTATAAATAAATGTCAACCTTGATTGTATTATTAGCATGTTTGTAAAGTAACGAAAACTATGCATCAATGTAGTGTCACTACTTATGTATTTTTACGGTAATTGTTTTGATATTGTAGTATCCATAGTGTTGAAATCTTTTGAGGGTTGAACTTTTGAATGTTACACTTAGGAGTAACATATAGCCCAATCCTTTTAGACGTGAACCATGTTCGCCACTAAGAAGTTTGAAGAAAAAATCCTTGATGCCAAGTTCCTTCCAAGTAGAATGAATCAGCAAATTTACCCAAGGGATTAAAGCTGACCAGCTCTTTTCTATTTTTTTATTTTTATGACATTAGTATTTAAGCATACACCTCAGTTAATTTCATTAAATACCTAAACTTTGACAGATGGGTAACCTAGTATTTTTGTCTCCACTAGGACCAGCTATTTTATGGTATAATTAAACTCTCTAGTTGAATATGTCCAGTGCATTCTGCAACAAACTAAGTCCATCATACCTTGGTTTTGCCAGAGAACTTCTTCGGCTTCTTTCCTAATATCTTCCTGCCTAAGAGTAGTTAGTGCATATAAGCAACTGTCTGAATTAATCCCAATCGAAATTTAACAAGAGCTCAACAAGTTCTAAACAACATCAAATTGATCATCATTAGACCTGTTTATGAGAGTGGCATTTATGTCTTAGATTGGCACACTGACTTGTGTAAGAACATATGAAAATGCAGAAAAAGGATAAAAACAACTACTCTATTTCAGAGACTTTTTAGGAAATAAAATGCTACTATGGGAAATTAAAAAGCAATTATCATCAGGAAATATTATCTAGTAAGATTAGACTGCCTAATTGGGAGATCCGCTAAAAGTTCTACTCTGCTGAAAATGACATAACAGATAAAGAAAAGAAAGGCCTTATATACTTTACTACTATACATAAACGCCATAGATGCAGCCGAAAACTAGCATTATTTCCAAACTGTGTCATTCAAGATTCTTCCTTCAAGAAATAACTTTGTGGCAAGCAGAAATCTTCCTCTTGATTCAGGATTTCTGCATCCTCATCATCTGGTTTCTGAAATTACGAACCAAGCATGAGAGTGGCAACGGTTATTAGTCACAACGATAAACTTTTGAGGCAGTATGAGATACTTGTCAACTATGACTAAACCTCTAGATTCTAACAGAGTGACTCAACAAGTGTAGAATAGGTTATAGGCTTTAAGATGAGCACAACCAATACATCAACTTCAACAATTTCATAAAGCTTGCCCACTGCAAATTCCTAAGTTAGACGCTGAGCAAAACCAACTCTTTTTAGGACAGAAAAGCACAAAAATATCATAAAACTTGAGATTATAGAACATACCATCATTTCCAAGTTATAGAATCGATCCAGCAGCTGCAACACGTCATCAGGAGTAAATTGCCGGTTGAAGCTGTGGCAATAAGTTTTTCCAGTGTCAAATGGCAAAGATAAGGTCACGTTAGGATTCAAAGAAAGAACACCTCTCCCACACTCTTTTTAGTGTGTGATGTGCGGTCTTGAGTAGGTTGCTTAAGTGTCCGCTTTTTCTCTTTAATTTTTTTTCCCCTTCAGGGAGTGCAGACAATTCCTAGCTCCTGTAAAACTAGTCAAATCTAGAGATAAAACAAAGGAAAACAGAAAAAAGTATAGTTAACTAAACCTTCTCTGGAGATATTCTGTTAGGCTGTAAAGGACAAAGTGACGATGCATGCCTGCCAGAGAAAGCAAGGTGAGCATGTTAAATATCTACCACGGATAGCAGAATGCAAATTTCACGTGAGTCACTCTATCCTTTATACTTTTTATGGGATGGAAAAGACATCAAATCATCATTCCATTTGAAGAACACACCAATCACCCTTTCCTCCGTTAGAAAATACACACACACTCTACAAATCACCAAAGAGTAATTAAAGTTCAACTGTGTGCCCATGGTTGACGCTACTTCTTCTCTATCGTAATAATTTGACAATGTCTCTTACAATCAAAATTGATACAGCATCCAATATTTTGACATACATGATGCCAATACATTGACTTCCTTAGCTATCACATTCCTTTTTGGTTAAATAAGGTAGTCTCGTAGCCAAACAGACTAGATCTATGAAAGACTAGGTATAGAGTGAGAATTGCAATGAACTTATGACATCAAAACCATTACTTGACTTTCATGTAAGCAATTCAGCTGAATATTACACCATAGGCTAGGATTATGTTAAGAAGTGCAATTTAACTACGACGTTTCAAGCTCAAACTGTTGTATATATCAAAAATAAATTAAGCCTTTGAAGCCATCAAGCTCCCTATTGATGACTTGTTACATACACACAAGCACTTAGACGAGTACTTATGTTTTTAGTCAACATTCTACTTAATGGAAATGAAGTGTTCAAATTTATACCTCAAATTTGTATAAACCATATTCAAATGTATATCATTATGAATTTCTACTTTTATTTTGATAATCGAAAAATTCACAAGGGCCAATGGTGAACGGTTAGAAATTCGACAGATAATGAGTCCACCCCTTTACTCTTCTCCGCTTAAATACCAAGTTTTTTATCTGCGACAAGGTTTGATGCTGACATGTGCCTAAGACACGCGTCAAATGTTGGGCTCTTACCACTAGACCGAGTCTTGGGGCTTATGAGTTTAGTTTTTAACTAGTCATAAACTTTGATATAGTTACCACCTTTTTGGCTTTAACAAGAGCAAACACATGGACGGATAAAGAGCTTATAAGAAGGAAACAAAATGAACTGAGTAATTTCAAAAAAAAACTGAAATTACCACTTAATTTGGAGAGAGGATAGGTTTCAAGAGCCTCCAACAACCTTATCTCCAAATCCACCTGCAATAGCCCCTATTTTTCATACCAAAAGTACCCAAAAAAGGAAAGAGACAGGTAATATTTTGTAAAATTCAACAAATGAAATACATACATACGTACACACACTGTTCAGAAAAAGAAAAAAAAAATACTCACCCTCCATCACGTTTTAGAAACTATTATTATTTGTTGGGTTTAAGCTTGGGTAGCTTAAAATAAAGGGTGAATGGGAAATTGAGAGAAAATGAAATATTTGAATTTTCCTCCTTGGCAAAGGCACATTGTCCCATATTGGAGAAAGAAATTGATGGGTATATATACAATTGCTCTTCTTCTAGCTCTTAAAGAGTTAAAAAGAAGGCAAGCCTCGCGTCGTCGTCGCTCGGCTTCGGCTCCGGATTTGGTCAAAGATTGATTGATTAATCTTTTTGGACAAAATTTCTTTAATTTTTTAATAAAATATTAATTAAATTATCCAAATATCCAACCCGAACCGGACGACCCGATTCACTTTTCTTCCCGGGTTTTTATTTAAATTTCCCTCCCGTTTTGAAGTGACTGTTCTGATGAGTTGTGAACTTTCAAAAGCAGTACTTCCATTGGCTATAAATTCGTTTGATTCCTCAGATTTTCCTTACGAATTTTCTGAACTTCAACACTTCTTCTCCTTCTGCACTTTACAGTCATTAAGTGGTTTGCAGTTCATAGGAGTTTTTGGTACCAATACACTGATGAGTTAAAATCGTTCTATCCTGGGAGGATAATATTCCAGCACCTTGGATACTTGAGGGGAATAATTTACTTAAGTACATACTGCATTCAGTGGGCTCGATTTATTTCAAAATTATTTTCAAATATTATTTCGACATTCTGTTGCTACTAACTTTCTGTTTATGTTTCTATTTCGGACTGTTTTATTATTTATTACAGTAATAAAGATTGTATAACACTATTGAACAAAACGAATTTTAAATATTTCTTGTATTTTCTATTTATGAAAGATTGGAGTTTGCAGATATTCAAATGTTTGCTTACGAAGAGATAATAGGAAACAAAAGAAGAAAAGGGTACCTTACGAAGAGCGGACGAAGAAGGTTTAGAAGGGGAATGTACGGACATGCCATCTTCTTCTGTACCTTTATCATTAGCGCCACTCTTTTGCCCCATTTTGAGATCTTGATTTTCCAAAAAGCTCTCCGATTCACTCTACTATGCTTGGTATATGTCTGCGTGAGAGAGACTCATCAATTAATTTTAGATTTAAGGTATTGTTTTATAGATTTACATATTATAAATTGTTGGGAGCTTTTTGTTTAGTTGATGAGAATTGCTAGGGATGAAATCCGATGTTAAATTGGGTCGTTTCGGGCTTTGGATGTAAATTCTAACATCATAATATAATTTTTTTTTTAAATTTAAATTTTTTTATTTAAAGATAAGTTCTAGAAAGCAGTAATTAGATCAACTATGTTGTATAGGCAGAGTGTTGGCCGGTCAAGAACTATCATGTCCACAAGATAAAGGTAGCTGAAATAATAACATGTTTGGTCAAGCTTCTTATTTGCAAAAAGTGCTTCTTTTTTTTTGCCAAAAGCACTTTTGGCCAAAAATTGAGGTGTTTGGCCAAGCTTTTGGAAGGAAAAAAAAGTGCTTTTGAGGAGCAGCAGAAGCAGAAAAAAGTAGCTTATCTCCAAAAGCACTTTTTTGAGAAGCACTTTTGAGAAAAATACACTTAGAAACAGTTTTTTAAAGCTTGGTCAAACACTAATTGCTGCTCAGAAGTGCTTTTCAAACTAATTAGTCAAACACAAACTGCTTTTCACCAAAAGTACTTTTGAGAAAAGCACTTCTCAAAATAAGCTGATTTTTGCAACTTGGCCAAACGGTCTATAAGTATGTTGAGACTTGAGATGGATGTGCGGGCACACTATGTTAGATAAGATTATGAATAGAAATATTTGGGACAAGGTGGGAGTGACCCATATGGAAGATAAGATGCGAGTGGCGAGGTTGAGATGGTTTGGGCATGTTAAGAGGAGAAACACAGAAGCTCTAGTTAGGAGGTAGGAGAGGTTAGCTTTGGTAGATACGAGGAGAGGTAGAGGTAGGCCTAAGAAGACATGGGGAGAGGTGATTAGGCGGAACATGCGGCAGCTGGAGCTTACTGAGGACATGACTTTAATAGGAGGGTGTGCCGGTCGAGGATCGGGATAGAAGATTAGTAGGTAGGATAGTGTTTTCCTTTATCTTCCTCTGTTCGGTAGCATTAGTGCTAATTTGATATCTTTATGCTCTTAAATTGCTATTATTACCTACCATTTCGTTGCTGCCTTTGCTTTAGTTTTCTTTTATCATATTCAAGTTATTACTTGTTGTCACTTCTTTTCATCATTTCATTGGCCGAGGGTCTATCGGAAACAGTCTCTCTGCCCTTCGAAGGTAGGGGTAAGGCTGCGTACATCTTACTCTCTCCAGACCTCACTTATAAAAATTCACTAGGCATGTTGTTGTAAGATTTCCATATTTAAAATTGCATGAGAATTTATGATGGTTCACAGTAGTGTTGGATGCATGTCCATGTTGTCCAACCAAAGGCCTAATGACTTAATCTTATTCTCCTTTAGTTTTCATTCCTATTAAGAATTGCATTCTATTCTTATTCCTATTTAGAATTAGTTTTGGCTTTAAGAGAAAACACCACTCATTATCTATAAATAGATCAATTTTGGAGAATTGTTCTATGCTCATTGGTATAAGTCTATGAAAGACTTTAACACATAACAATGGCTTTTGAGAGAGCTTCCGTCATCAAGAGAGAAAGATAAGAAAAAATGTTCATTTTGTTGCAGATTTTGTTCTGCCCAACCAACTTCAAATCACATTTTTGATTTGTTAACCGTTGGATCGGGCTAAAATTTTGACTGGGTATTTCTAACATCTTGTCGTTGATTTGAACAGTGGAGATCGGATTTGGAGGCCCGTAGCATCCGATTTTGAGCCCCGAACAACAGCTCCATTTTGTGACTTCTCCTCTTTCTTTAATTGATCTGTTGTTGCTACTTTGACACTTGTTGAGTAGTCAATTTGAATAACTTTTGTACCCTCTTATGGTTATAGTGAAGCTTTTTACATCTTTGTGATCCTGTGATTTTTACCTTCGATTTGAAGGTTTTTCACGTTAAAATTTGGTGTTCTTTATGTTCTTTATTTTCGGGTTTACCTCTTTCTCGACATAACAGTGGTAAAGAGATTAGTTATTTGTCCGTATTTTTACGGAATGGAGGCGAATATGAGCAAGATAGTATGTTTAAATGGGAGCAATTATAATATTTGGAGAAGCAAGATGAAAAATTTGTTGTTCATGCAGAAGATGCATCTACCAGTTTTTGTAGCTCATAAACCCGAGATTATATCTAATAAAGATTGGGATTTCGATCACTAACAAGTATGTGGATTTATACGATAATGTTTTGAAGATAATGTTGACAGCCATATTGTGAATGAGACACATGCGAGATCATTGTGGGAAAAGCTAGAGACTCTTTATGCTTCAAAAATTGGGAACAACAAGTTGTTCATACTAAAGCAATTGATGACCTTTAAATACAATAAACCAATAAGGCAGGTTGCGGCGTGCAACCCGATCCAAATAACAATAACCAACTCTCTTAGAGCTCACATCAACCAGAAACTCATCGGTTTCTCATAATCTGCGTGTACACCGTCAAGAGAGGAACATGAGAGAGTGACCCTAGGGGGATAGATCCGTATTCACACGCTGCACGTACAACTCACGTGCTGCATGGACAACTCACGTGCTGCATGGACAACTCACGTGCTTATAATATCAATCCGCATGGACAACTCACGTGCTATAATATCAATATCTGAATCCGCACGAACAACTCACATGCAAATATCACAATCCGCCTAGCGTGGTCACAAACACAATATCATAATCCGCCCAACATGGTCACAAACATAACAACACAATACGCCCGCCGTGATCACAGTCATAGCAACACAATCCGCCCGGCGTGGTCACATGCATCCAGTCCAAATCATATCACACAAAAACAAGTGTACAAAAACATATGCATATGATGAATAAATATCGATTTTATGATCTTGGACTGGTATAATAACATGCTAAAGTGTAGGCATGTGTAACGTGTGCTATCATAACTCAAATCAAAATTTTCATCACATAATTAGAAATTACCAAGTTTATTCAGAGAATTAGCCTCTTTGTTACCTCAAACATAGCTCAAATAGTTCACAACAACATTATAAATATGAGAAACATCATATCTTATAGCTTAACAGTCAATTGTAGGCATATCATAGCCTAAGCACTACCCCGAGTATGTATAAATACCCCGGTACTCGCACATGGGCCAAAACCCCACACATATGCACACCCATAGCTCGTAGGTATCGTAAATAATTCAGGCAACTAGTGCCTCAACCAAGTTTAGATAAGATACTTACCTCAAACATACCAAAACAAATACCAAGCAAGCCAAACAACACTCTATAAATGCCATCCAGCGTGAATCAATCTCCGAATGGCTCAACACTAGCCAAAAGCAACTCAAATCCATCAAAAAGTGCCAAAGGAAACAAACTCAAACGATAAAGGTCGAATATTTACTCAATTACTCAAAGTCAACAAAAAGTTAAACCTTGGACACGCACCGCAGAACCCGATCTAACTCACAAATTCCGATAAATCATTCGAATACGAGTCCAAGCATACTAATTTCACTCAAATCTAAATATGAATGGATGTTCAAAACTCAAAAATTCTCTTTAGGAATCAAAAACCTTGAATTTCTCTTTTAGATTCACCATTTAAATACTAAAATAAAGATGGAATCATGTAAAATAATTAGAACTGATTCAAAAATACTTATCTCAATCCAAATCTAACTTCAAATCGACCTCTAAATTCATAAATTTCATCCCTTTAAGTTTTAGGGATAAAACCCACAAATCTCCAATCAAAATATGGACTAGTGCATAAATGAACTAGTATAATAATGTTAAATACAAAATTTGAGGTTAGATACTGGCCGCCATGAAAAAACGAGAAGAACGCTGAGAAAATCACCGGTAATTTTCGTATTTGCGGACCATTTTGCGCAATTTACGGGTCGCAGATGCAGACCCAACTTCGCATTTGTGAAGCATCAGCACCAACTTTCTCCTCCTACACTAAAATGGGCATAACTCCCTTATACGATGTCTGAATTCAACAATTCTTTTAGTTATGGCTCCATAATTATGTTACAGATCTAATCGTTCAATCAAATAGTATTTAGAGCTCATTTGTTTAATATGGTACCATTTATGCTTGAAAAAATAAAGTCGAAACATAAAAAACGAGCGCAACACAACCCAAACCAATCCGAAACTAACCCGAGCCCTTCGGTACCACGTCCGAACATACCAATAAGCCCCAAAACATAATTTGGACTTTCTTGAGGCCTCACATCTCACATAACAACATCAAAACCACGAATTTCACATCAAATCAAACTTAATAAACTTCTGAACTTTCGACTTTCAAAACTCATACTGAACCCTATTAAATCAACTCGAAATGACCTCAAATTTTGCACACAAGTTCCAAATGATATAACGAACCTATTCCAACTCTCGGAACCAATCTAAACGTGATAACATCAATGTCAACTCTCGATCAAACCTATGAACTTCTCAAACCTTCAAATTGCCAACTTTCGCCAATTAGCGCCAAAACCTTCTAGGAACATCCAAATGCAACTCCGAGCATACGTTCAAGTCCAAAATCACATCCAGGACTAACAGTACCATCAAAACTCCGATCTGAGGTCAAATACACGAAAGTCAAACTTGGTCAACTCTTCCAACTTAAAATTTCCTTTTAGGAATCATTCATCTTCCAAATCAATTCCGAACAACTCGAAGTAAAATCGATAATACACGCAATTCATAATATACCATATAAAGTTATTCATGACCTCAGACCACTAAACTGGATGCTAATTCTCAAAATGATCGGTCGGGCCGTTACACTTCTGTTCTTTTCGACTTTGCATATGTTAAAGTAAAGGAATATATCAAACGCTTCTGACAAACTGAGAAAAAAAACAACCTTTTCTTGGCAAGAACTTCTTTGCAATTCTGGACTTTGGATTATCTCTATTCACCGCATTGTAATTTGGGTAGGTTGATGATTTCTTCTTTTTTACTTTCGGCATTCCGTATCTGACTCTAAATCTATTGACCTGACTAATTTAGATTATATCGGGTAAGCCCGATAAAAAAGATAATACACTTTATTCAATAGGTTTTTCAGCTTTAGAATTATTCGAA